TAAGGAAAAAATTCCAGATACTATCCATCTTAGTCGAGCTCCTTTCTGGTTAAATTGCAGCTATGGCTGAATTAGATACTGTCATTCCATATGTTAAGACACACTCAGCCAGATTAAGGGATCCAAGCAATAAAATAAACTTTCCCTAAAGTATTACCGAAATAAATCAGAAATAGGATGCCAGTTATCTCCTTACCTAGCTGGTGATATGCAGATTGGACAAACTCTGCCTGAGAAGATTAAACTCTCCAGGAGAATTTATAAAAAAAATAAATAACTCACTCTTTATCATCAATTCAAAATAAATTCAAGAGTACAGAGTATGTAATCAAACTTTTATCTTGAACATAAAGAGTCCTGTAAGTGTAACGGAAAATACATTTTCCCTGTTCTGCCAAAGAAATACTTTAAAAGTATTTGAAAGATACTATTTGCAAGGAGTAAAAACATTAAGTTGCCCAATGAACCCACACATGTTGGCCCACTGAGGGACAGACACATCGGAGGAAACCAGGAATTGCTCATCCTGTACCTGCCCTTAAGCTTGCCCTCTCAGTGAATGACACCAAGTCTTAGCCAGCTGACAAAAGGGTAGGAATCATCTTGTCATCTTCCTCTCCTACATCCCTCACCGCCCATCCATAACTAAAGCATTTCTCTATTCAGCTTCAGAACACATTTTCAATCTGTCCATTTACCCAAGCCTATTCCTATGACCCTAATTGAGACCACTTCTATTCTGGCTTGAATTAATTCAACAGCTTCAGGAGTTTCAACTTTTTCCCTCCTGCAAGTCTATTTTTCATGCCACAGTCAGATTAATCTTCCCAAAAAATATAAATCTGATCATGTTACTCTTTTGCATAAAACACTTTAGTAGCTTGCTGTTGCCCTCAGGCTAGAGTGAAAACAGCTTATCATGGTTTACAAGCCTCTTGTAAATCATTCCTCTAATTACCTCTTCGACCTCTTTTCTGTTTCTCTCCTGTATTTGCTCCAGCCCGTCTGAATGACTTTAATTCTCCAATCACAGAGGGTTTCCATTGCTTCCATGCCTTTGTACTCCCTATTTTCTTTGCCTAGAACTCTCTCTCTCTCTCTCTCTCTCTCTCTCTCTCTCTCTCCATGAAGGATGACGGTGGGGGCTAGGGAGTGAGAATGGAAATAAACTGTTGCTGGGTTTACTATGTATTTTACCTGAAGCAATTTGATGACACCTCTAAGTAGATTGTGATAAATTAAAGATGTATACTATAATCTTTTGAACAAATAAAAATAATGTACATAAACATACACAGAAGGGCTAAAGAATTGAAATGCAATACTGAAAGATTAAAATAGAAAAAGACAAAAAAGAAAGGAACAAAAAATTCAAATGGTGACAGACAACAAATAGCAAAATGGCACCCCAAAATGCAATCATTTTAGTTAACTATATTTGGTATAAGTGGACAAAACAATCTAACAAAAGGCAGAGATTGCAGAGATCGTGAGATCGATTGAAAAGCCAGAACCAACCACATGCTGGCTATAAAAGAAACTCTTAACTACAGAGACACAAATAGGTTGAGAGTTAAGGATGGAAAAAGATATACCATGAGAACATTAAGCTCAAAGCTAGAGTGGCTACAGTAATCCTTCAAAATGAGTTGAAGACAAGTATTACTAGAGACAAAGATGGACTCTTTCTTTTTTTTTTTTTTAATTTTTTATTGTTATGTTAATCACCATATATTACATCATTAGTTTTTGATGCAGTGTTCCATGATTCATTGTTTGTTCAAAACACCCAGTGCACCATGCAAAACGTGCCCTCCTCAATACCCATCACCAGGCTAACCCATCCCCCCACCCCCCTACCCTCTAGAACCCTCAGTTTGTTTTTCAGAGTCCAAAAGATGGACTCTTTCTAATGATAAAAGATCCGTAAAACAATCTCAGTAGGTTTTGAAGGATGGAAATGTTGCAGAGCAGTTCTCTGACCACAACAGAATTAAATACATAAAATACAGTAAGATTCTAGAAAAGATCTAACTACATACTTGGAATAAGGTAACTCTATCCTAAACAATCCATCAGCAAAAAAGAAGCATAAACTAAAAAAAAAAAAAAAATGTTGTCACTGAATAAGTTTTATATATATATATATATATATATATATATATATAAAAACTTCTGAAATGCAAGTAAGCATTTTAAAAGCTTATATTAGAAATGAAGGTCCAAAATCAATGATCTAGGGTTCCACCTTAGGAAGATAAGAAAACCAGACGAGCCAACCCAAACCTGATGAACCTGTACCAAACATCTGTGCACACTAAATTATTTCCTTATGATATATCGTCAGAAAAAAAAAATACGGCTCATCAGATCAGTCCTCTTCTGGAAGCAGTAGCTATGTTTATGGCAAAGATTGTGGTGATAGATTCACAGATGTCTACTTACCTCCCAACTCCTCAACTTGTATACATTAAATATATAATTTTTTGTATGTCCATCATCCCTCAATGAAGTGGCTTTTAAAAATTCAAAGTTGGGGAAAAAAATGGTTCAAAGGGATGCACATATTGAACTTAGATATATTTAAGTTTAATGTATCCAGTAACCTCCTCACTGTTGCCCCTGAACCTCCTGAAGGCTCTACCTGTTTTCTATTCCATCAGTTCCTTCTACTCTTGTTAATTCTGGGTAAAAATAGGGATTGAACTTAGGTAAAAATGATTTGTTCCTGTTGTTTAACCTGCATTTCTTTGCTTACTAGTGAGGTTGGTCATCTTTTCATATATTGATTAGCTGTTTTTAGTGTTTATTACATTCATTGCCTCATTTTCTATTGACATTTACCTCTTTTCCTTGTTGATTAATAAGAGCTGTTTAATACCAAGTTGATCATGGTCTTTGGGTGTTCAATGTGCATGTTGTTTACTTGTTATGCTATTATTTTTTAGATGCATACAAATAGACCATTTTCTTTCATGGTGTCTGGCTTTATTCATAGAAAATGCTTTTCAATTCTATTATAAAATTATTGAATTTTCTTCTAATACATTATCTGTTCATGCATTCTAGTTCTTAATTCATCTGGAATTTATTTTATTGGACCAAATGAAGTTGTGTATCTTTTCCCACTAAATATCTAGCCAATCATTTATATCTTTCTCACTGAATTAAAATGCCCACTTTCACCTATACTAACTTTTCAAATATACTTTAATTCCTTACTTTGTTTCATTGGCTGTATTTTCATGTAGTGTACTGCTTTATTTTTGATATCTGGTAGGGTCTGTTGCCATTACTACTGTTTAATATTTCTGATTACTCTCATATTTATCTTCTTTCAAATGAACTTTCAAATTTCTCAATATATACATAGATCACAGAGATATATTTGGATTTGAAAAACAATGTCTTTATAATATTGAATCTATTAAAATAAATAGTATATGTCTCTTTTTTCTAAGTTTTGTTTTCTTAGTAGGGCTGAGTGTTTGTCATAGTCTGTATTTCTCATTAAATTATTCTAAGGAATATAATATTTTCAGAGATGCTGTGACTAATCCTTTGTGACGATATTTTCTAAATGTTTTTATTTTGTACCATGTTAATTTATTCTCCTATTCTCATCACTTTTCAGGTAATTTAGACATTAATTTGATCTACAAACAATGCTAGTTTTACCCCATCTTTTCCAATAATACCAACTCCTATGTTCCTAGATAATGGATTTTGGAGCACTGTCTGAATCTTTGCCTTGTTCTTACATTTAGGGGCACTTCTCTAGTAATTCACCATTAGGGTTGATCCTAGTTATTTTTTTTATGGATATATTTATTTAGATGTAGACATACCTTTACATGGAGATATAGACATACATGTGAACACTGTGAATGGAGAATTGTACTTTCAATTGCTCTTTTAGGAGTGAATACTGAAGTTGATCAAATACCTTTTTATCTAAAAATACTGTTTTACACTACTGAGACTTGTGTAAAATATGGTGTTTGTGGATGAAGTGTACCCCACAGGATCTCATGTGGAGAAGCAAAGCTCAACAACACACGTCTTGCTATTCAGTTGAGCAGTAAGTTCAGTGTCTGCTTAAATATCTACAGTTAAATAGGTATCAAATGATATTGGAAAGGAGTATGCTTTAAGTTCAGTTTAATATGTTCACTGGGTTTGAAATTGAATATGAAAGGATAGTTCTTTTTTTTCCTTAAAATTACGACTCTTCCCACTCTTAAAGCATTTTCATCATCAGAGCCCTTATGGTGCTTTGATTCCATCTCTTCCCTACAACAAACACAAAGCAAAGAGATTTTGAGGATCTTTTCACTTACCTCAAAAAAGAAAACCCCTTCATAAATGAAGACTTACTGAATGCTGAAGGATGTATACCTTCTAAGGGGCAGTTTTTAATAGAAAGCTTATATCTGAAGGAAATAAAGCCTCAACCTCTTGTATTGAATGTAACTTTTTGTTTGTACTTTGAACCTAAGAGCCTGATATCAAATGAAGCTTCTATTAGCTTCATTTTGAGCAGAGGATGATATCCCAACATTACAGATGCAGACACTGATTCAAGCTGAATAGGTTTCCTCTTAGCCATTGACCTCTGTTGCTTGAGTTTGAGTTCAACATGGAGCCTTTTGTGAAATGCATGCTGTTGTGCCTCACATCCTGTGCCAGACGGTGTATTAGTCTCCTTATAATTGTTCAATACTGACATTGTCCTAATTCTAGGATGCTATTACTATCGTCATCCTCATTTAACAGCCAAGAAAACCAACGTACAGAGAGGTGCATTAACTTACCCCCTGTGGCTAAAAAGGGTAGCCCTCGGGTTCAATCCCAGATCAGTGTGATTCCCAATCCAGGGTCCTTTCCATCGTACTTGCTGCCTTCTTGATGTCCCTTTACCTATCCATGTCCTAACTCAACTTCTCTTCCTGCCTCCTCCTGCAGGCCCGTGACCAAGGTGTAGACTAAGAGGTGGAGTCATGCTTCACACGGCCATATCATGTTGGCAGCCATTCCTGGGTCTGGCTGTGGTGTTCGTCTTCATGGGTTCCACCATTGGCTGTCCCGCTCGCTGTGAATGCTCTGCCCAGAACAAATCCGTTAGCTGCCACAGAAGGCGGCTCATCGCCATCCCCGAGGGCATTCCCATCGAGACCAAAATCTTGGACCTCAGCAAGAACAGGCTGAAGAGTGTCAACCCTGAGGAGTTCACATCCTATCCTCTGCTGGAGGAGATAGATTTGAGTGACAACATCATCGCCAATGTGGAGCCAGGAGCTTTTAACAATCTCTTTAACCTTCGTTCCCTCCGCCTCAAAGGTAACCGCCTGAAACTGGTCCCCTTAGGGGTCTTCACGGGGCTATCCAACCTCACCAAGCTGGACATTAGTGAGAATAAGATTGTCATTTTACTGGACTACATGTTCCAGGACCTGCACAACCTGAAGTCTCTAGAGGTGGGGGACAATGATTTGGTTTATATATCACACAGGGCCTTCAGTGGGCTCCTGAGCTTGGAGCAGCTCACCCTGGAGAAATGCAACCTCACAGCTGTACCAACAGAAGCCCTTTCCCACCTCCACAGCCTCATTAGCCTGCATCTGAAGCATCTCAATATCAACACTATGCCCGTGTATGCCTTTAAAAGACTGTTCCACCTGAAACATCTAGAGATTGACTATTGGCCTTTACTGGATATGATGCCTGCCAATAGCCTCTATGGTCTCAACCTCACGTCCCTCTCGATCACCAATACCAACCTGTCCACGGTCCCCTTCCTTGCCTTTAAACACCTGGTATATCTGACCCACCTTAACCTCTCCTATAATCCCATCAGCACGATCGAAGCTGGCATGTTCTCGGAACTGATCCGCCTTCAGGAGCTTCATATAGTGGGGGCCCAGCTCCGCACCATTGAGCCTCACTCCTTCCAAGGGCTCCGCTTCCTTCGTGTGCTCAATGTGTCTCAGAACCTACTGGAAACTCTGGAAGAGAATGTCTTCTCCTCCCCTAGGGCTTTGGAGGTCCTGAGCATCAATAACAATCCACTAGCCTGTGACTGCCGTCTCCTCTGGATCCTGCAGCGGCACCCCACACTGCAGTTCGGGGGCCAGCAGCCCATGTGTGCTGGCCCCGACACCATCCGTGAGAGATCATTCAAGGATTTCCACAGCACTGCCCTTTCTTTTTACTTTACCTGCAAAAAACCGAAAATCCGTGAAAAGAAGCTGCAGCATCTGCTAGTGGATGAAGGGCAGACGGTCCAGCTCGAATGCAGCGCTGACGGAGACCCTCAGCCTGTCATTTCCTGGGTGACACCGCGCAGGCGTTTTATCACCACCAAGTCCAATGGAAGAGCCACCGTGTTGGGCGATGGCACCCTGGAAATCCGCTTTGCCCAGGATCAAGACAGCGGGATGTATGTCTGCATCGCTAGCAATGCAGCGGGGAACGACACCTTCACGGCCTCTTTAACTGTGAAAGGCTTCACCTCAGACCGCTTCCTTTATGCCAACAGGACCCCTATGTACATGACGGACGCCAACGACACCATGTCCAATGGCACCAATGCCAATACGTTTTCCCTGGACCTTAAAACAATACTGGTGTCTACAGCCATGGGCTGTTTCACATTCCTGGGAGTGGTTTTATTTTGTTTTCTCCTCCTCTTTGTGTGGAGCCGAGGGAAAGGCAAGCACAAAAACAGCATTGACCTCGAGTATGTGCCCCGAAAAAACAATGGTGCTGTTGTGGAAGGGGAGGTGGCTGGACCCAGGAGGTTCAACATGAAAATGATCTGAGGGGCTAGCGCTCACACTGTTGTTTCCAGGTCGGTGTCGGTCACCAGTGAGATAGCTGGCACAGTCAATTACTAGGTGAAAAGGTGGCCTCGGGCGGCTGCCCCTGTGTCCAAGCAGGGTCCACAGAGGCAGGACTTCGTCTGGAGACTCTCCACTGAGAGGCAGGCAGACACGTGTCACAGCCCTTCACAGTGGGATTCTAATTGTTTGCGTTGCAAATATTGGCATTCTGGGGATCTCAGTAATGAACCTAAACCTTCAGCTCATGCTCACGGACAGTTACTCAACCTTTTCTACCACGGCAAAAACAAAAGGAAAAAAAAAAAGAAAGGAACAACCTACAATGTAGGATTTACGTATTAAAAAGACACATTTGTCTAAAACATACTCTACAGAAAAATTTGTATCTATGATTCTCATTTGTTAAAGCCTTGCATCATACCGTATTGTTGATTCAGCACCACAAAGAAATCAGTATATTCTTTACTTTTTTTTTTGAAACATATATGCTGTATATGTTTTAAAGCAATATGAATGAGAGGTTGTGCTTTTAGTTACTCACCACTATAGATCCAAGTGTGATATCACCTTGCTTTCCATACAGATGACCCTGAGACTAGATCCCTGGAGTTATGGGCGGAGAGATGCGGAATGATGCGTTTGTCTGATGTAGGATGCCAAGAAATAGAGCCCAAGGCAAAACTGCTCAACTCTGTTAACTTCTGTTACTATAAATAAAGGCATGTGCCTAGTTTTGATACAGAATGGAATATTTTTTATACTTGTGATATCACCCTGGACCAGTTTACTGTAACAAAGCCCTTGGTTTCTCCGGAAGGTTGTATGCCACTAGTTGTACCTGTAAAATGCAAGGTAGGTGTTCATGATGAAGATGATCCATTTAAACACAACTTGATTTTACTTTCATCAGTTACTACTACTGGGTTAACAGGAAGAGCATGTAGTTGTTATCTATACTCATAGGGTAATATTTACCTTGTAGAGGAGAGCAAGAATTTGGAATATGCAAAACCTTGGTGGATAAAAGGGAGTTCTTCTCAGATGCCAGCACAAACCAGGGTGATCCAGGCATCACGTGATGTTAACGCAACTAAAGATCTCTTACAATGATAGCTGTCTGAAGGCTGGATTGCTGCCAGTCAAAGGAAATATCCAGCTACCACTACTGTTTTCTATTCAAATATTTACTGTACGTATAGTATTACCTTGAATGGGTAACTTCAGGGCTTTTCCCTGCTTCCTTTTAGCTTGAGAATTATCTTGTGTACACAAGAGGAATCTGTCTCATTGTTAAAGACGGGAGGAGAAACAAGGTGAATTAAAAAGCACTTAGTTTTTTCCTCTACTCTGTAGAGGAAAAAACTAAGTTCAAGAGCCCTACCGATAGGTTAAATTGTGCAGATACTTTTACCCCTCTGACCCAAGGATCTCAGTCCAGTTCAGTTTGTATTAATGATTGTTACTGAGAGTTAAAACATTATAACGTTTGTTTGTTTTTTAATGGCATCCTGCCCCTACCACCAGTGATCTGGTTCCAATGAGACATAATTCCATTTGGCTAAATATTCAGTGAATGCCTTTCAAGGCATATATTCATATGACCCAAGAAAGCACTGAATACAGAGTGGATTCATGAAATGTGATCTATTTAATCAGCAAAGGAGAGATAGGAAATGGCTATACTTTGTAAATTTTGAGAGGGATCTGAAAGTGACCCCCTTTTGGACAGTGAATAAGAAGTTTCTAAGGTTTGTTTCTTGACATATCCTCCTGGGGGGTTGACTTTCAAAAAGCTGGGTTTTGTTCGTTTGTTTGTTTTTTTGGTGGCATTTGAAATTTTGAGGAGCTTCGATAAAATTAAATTGACCCCAATAAAGAAGTGACAGGTCCAGAAATTGTTTTGCCGATTGGATAGTAGCACAGTTAAACCCCTTTCTCCCTTAATAAAGGGTGGAAATGAGACAGAAAGATTGAAGAATTGCCTGTTGAAGTCATTTTTCATTTGACTTTCCTAATGGCCATCATAGATCTTTTAGAAATTCATTTTCCACTTTTGGAAATTACTTTATATTACATATCCAATAATACAAATCAAGACTTTTTTGCAATTTCTATTTCCTGTGTGCAGGTGGAATGGGGTCTTTCAAACTGAAAAGAAAAAGTGGAGAGCTACTCCTCCACAACTTAATAGGAAATACTTCATCTTAATTTTGCAACATCATAATTGCAACCCATTGTCCAACAACAAGAGACACATGGAGCAATTAATAAAAGGGCCTTGTGATTGTAACTGCTATTTTCTGTTAAAATAAAAGTGGACCAAAAACAGCTTAGTCAAATGAAATTGAATTAAAGTTAACCCATCCACGAAAAGATTAAGTGAAAAGATTTTGTGATTATTCCACTGGAAGAAGAGAGACTGTACTCTTTCAGGGGCTTCCATACTCTCATCTGTGGAACAACGGTGTTTAAGATATCAGAAAGCACCCTTCCAAAAAAGAGACTGGACAGACTACTAAATTGGGAAAATGCTGCATTCTTTAACCACCTCTTGACGTTCAAAATATACATGAGCCTACTAAATCCTCTGCAAGTCCTGTAAAAAACAATTCTGTTTAATATTGCTCACCTTATGGTTTCTCTATTTGTTTGAGCACAAAGCTCTTCCTTTTCTGATTTGACTGTTAACATCTTGAAAAACAAGTTCCGTCAAACCCAGTTTGGTCAACAGTGAACTAAAGTAGTGCTCTTTCGAAGTAGTCCTAAACTCAGTGTTACCACTAAGAGTAAAATTGCTAGTTGAAGTGGACTCCAACAGATAACAAAAAAATCTATCACCTGCACATGTGATCTGATCATAAGAATGTATTGGCCAGGTATTTCTATGAGAATCTACTTTCCACCAGAAACATCACAGTAATGGATTTGTAGTTAATTGAAAGGCTACTTAATTTTCTCTATTTTCACTAGCGGTGCAGATCTTGGGCTCCTTTGTATATCTGTAAAGCTCCGACCATGGGTTCCACTAACTAGCTCTGGGGCTTAGCATGGAGTTATGCACAAGGAATCTTCCCTTATGGCTTTAAATTACCTCTTTGTTAGAGCAAAGTAGACCATGGTAGAGAGTAACAGCTCAGAGAGCACATGGGCCAAATTCTCTCCTAAGTAGACCTCTCTGAGTCAACCTCTTTCCAGAGGATTTGTCTTGAAGTGTCCCAAGAACAAATATAGTTGGTTTGGCTCACCACTAAGTTTTGGGTTGACTCATTCAGTTGTGTGTGTTGATATCATTTTCGGATAAATGTTTATTTTCTCTAAGCATTAAATCTCTAGAAGAACAAATTCTCTGACTAGAGCCCTAGTAGTCTGAGAGAATTGATCCATGTCCCTATCTGAAATTCATATTACCATAGTAAGGTAATTCACCAATCGAGCTTAATGTGTTCCTGATGAGGGATTTCTACTTGTCCAAATTCTCCTAGTACTCACTTTTTTTAAACCTCATTTCATTTTCATTGTATTTATAGCTATGAGCTTTTCAAATAGTCTCAAAATCTGAAAATGTAAACCAAGAATTGCCAAGATTTACACATCCTAGTTCCTGAGGACGTGGGTCAGATTTCTAGTTTTGCTCAAGCTTCCAAGAAATTTTGCTTCTCACCAGCAACTCCCCAGTAGTATGAAGGCACTCAGGATTTGCCCTACACAGTCAAGGGTGGATTCTTTTTTCATTGTTCTGTCAAATATTTTGCTCTCCTCAGTTCTCAGAAAAGCCCAGAGGTTATATAATCTTCTATGACTTTTTTTTAAAAGGATTTAAATCTCACCTGCATTGAAGCCTGACTTTTGTCACTTTCCATGACTCAAGTAGGAACAAATATATTTATATTTTAGAAAGTACAAAAGAGAGGATGTGATCTTGGAGAAGAAAAATTGAGTACAGCCCCATGTAAATTAACTTACCCTTCCAGGTCCTCCTTTCATCTCTGGGTCGAGACATTTGTTTTAATTTCAGGGACTGTACTCAGAAGCTGTTCAGCAACATGTAATGTGTCTTGAGGCTTTCTAGGAAAGAAAAAAAAATACATCATTTTCAGTGTAGAAGGCTAAGACTTAACAAAAAGACATTATTGAGGATTTAAAGAAAGGTTAGGAGATACTTGGATCCATTTTAATTCTATTTCCTCTACTGCTAAGATTTATAGTTACCATCTTCTGAGAAAGAATCCTAAATTATCTTCTTTAAATGTAGTTTCTGCTTTATCCCTGTTTCCTACATCCCAGTCACCTTTATGTAGCTCATACGATCTATTCCAAATGGATTTTGTGGCATATGAATCTAGTAATAAAACCTTTGGGGTCGAAGCCATTCATTCTACTTGGTACTTAGGTAAAGATACAACATTCTTTATTACTAGAATTAGGTTCTAGCAACATTCCCCATTAGACTTGTACATCCTGTGCCTGGTTATTTCCATGGACTTTCCACCATTGTCTCTGTCCTTTCTGCTAAAATCCTTGGTACTTTCTGTTCCAGGAGTTTTAGAGTTACTTTGCCTTTGTGTGTGGGAAGCCTTGAAGAATGCAGTATCATGATTTGTTGATTTCAGAATTACATGCATTGGTTAGGCACCAGAGGGTGCTTCCTGATATGTCAGCAAACACTTGATGAGTCTCTGTTGCTGTCCCCTTAGCTCCTTCAAAAGCCATCCCTAAGAGAGCACTCTCTTTCTCCCTGTAGTGAAAGTATGGCGACAGGGAAAGGGCAGCTTCATGACTTAAGTCTCCAAGATCAAAATGACAGCTGATTTGCTACAGTATTTACCTATGTCATGTAACAAAAACTGGGTCTCGGGGCCATAAAAGTCTAGATTTGCAAGGTTTAACCAAGTCAGCTATGGTTTAAATCAACAATGACAGGTTTTCAAACCCGAAATTGGTTCATCTGTTTTGGGAGCAGTAAATGTGGCTGTATTTCT